CTCTCTGTCTCTAATCAGCCACCCAAATATACTCAGCCTTCTCTCCCATCCCAGGCTGTGTGGAGCCAGGGTCCCCCACCACCTCCTGCCTATGGCCGCCTCTTAGCCAACAACAATGCCCATCCAGGCCCCTTCCCTCCTACTGGAGGCCAATCCACTGCCCACCCACCAGCCCCAACGCATCACCATCACCACCAGCAACAGCAACAACAGCAGCAGCAGCAACAGCAGCAGCAGCAGCAGCAACATCATCATGGGAGCTCTGGGCCCCCTCCACCTGGAGCATATCCCCACCCCATAGAGAGTAGTAATTCCCACCACGCACACCCTTATGCCATGTCTCCCTCCTTGGGCTCTCTAAGGCCCTATCCCCCAGGGCCAGCACACCTGCCCCCACCTCACAGCCAGGTGTCCTACAGCCAAGCAGGCCCCAATGGCCCGCCAGCCTCCTCTTCTTCCAACTCCTCTTCCTCCTCTCAAGCGTCCTACCCATGTTCACACCCCTCTCCTTCCCAGGGCCCCCAAGGGGCGTCCTACCCCTTCCCACCCGTGCCTCCGGTTACCACCTCCTCGGCTACACTTTCCACAGTCATTGCCACAGTGGCTTCCTCGCCAGCAGGCTACAAAACAGCCTCCCCACCTGGGCCCTCACCATATGGAAAGAGAGCCCCATCCCCAGGGGCCTACAAGACAGCCACCCCACCAGGATACAAGCCAGGGTCACCACCCTCCTTCCGAACGGGGACCCCACCAGGCTACAGGGGCACCTCGCCGCCCGCAGGCCCAGGGACCTTCAAGCCTGGCTCACCCCCCGTGGGGCCTGGGCCATTGCCACCTGCAGGACCCTCAGGCTTGTCATCCCTGGCACCACCTCCTGCCGGCCCTGCCTCGGGGCCACCCCTGAGTGCCACGCAGATCAAACAGGAGCCGGCTGAGGAGTATGAGACCCCAGAGAGCCCAGTGCCCACTGCCCGCAGCCCCTCGCCCCCTCCCAAGGTGGTAGACGTGCCCAGCCATGCCAGTCAGTCAGCCAGGTGAGTGGGGCGCCAGCGGGCCTGGGACGGGGAGCTGGGAACGGCGAAGGGGTAACAGAGGGAGTAGGCATGGGGTGGGGTTTGCGTTCATAAGGTGCTTTTTATAGTACTGCTGACCCTCGCCCTGCCTCCCCAGCCTTTGGGGGCTGGCTTTGGGCCGGAGTCACCTTGGGCCGCTGGCAGGGGCTGAGCGCGCGCTGCCTCCGCGCCCCGCAGGTTCAACAAACACCTGGACCGCGGTTTTAACTCGTGCGCGCGCAGCGACTTGTACTTCGTGCCACTGGAGGGCTCCAAGCTGGCCAAGAAGCGGGCCGACCTGGTGGAGAAAGTGCGGCGCGAGGCCGAGCAGCGCGCGCGCGAAGAAAAGGAGCGCGAGCGCGAGCGGGAACGTGAGAAGGAGCGCGAGCGCGAGAAGGAGCGCGAGCTGGAACGGAGCGTGGTGAGTGCGTCACCACGTGCGCCTCCCGCCTTCTGGCCTTCCCTTGGCGCCGCGCGGGGAGGCATGAGGGGCGGGGAAGTCACTGCGCCACCTCTTGGGCTGGAGGAAGCGCTGCAGCCCAGGAAATGGAGATCAAAGGATTCCTGCGAGAAGAATGTTTGGGTGGGGGAAGGACAGCTCAGGTCAGACTACCTGCGGATTGTAAGAGCCGCTATTCAGGAGAAGGGGGTAGGGAAGTTCCTGGTAGGCTCAGTTCCAGTATTTTGGCACTCAGCTGTTGAGATAAACTGGCAACTCAGTACTGGCCACCTTTTTTGTTTTTGTTTTTAAATTGATTTTTAGAGAAAGGAAGGGGGAGAGAGAAACATGTGAGAAACACTGATGGGTTGCCTTCCGCTCCTGCCCTGACGGGGATCAAACCTGCAACCTTGGTGTATGGGATGATGCTCCAACCAACTGAGCCGCACCAGCCAGGGCCTGGCCACCTTTTTATGGAACTGCTCTTCTGACTCCTCTTCTCCCTGTACCCCACAGAAGTTGGCTCAGGAGGGCCGTGCTCCAGTGGAGTGCCCATCTCTTGGCCCAGTGCCGCATCGCCCTCCGTTTGAACCGGGCAGTGCTGTGGCTACAGTGCCCCCCTACCTGGGTCCTGACACTCCAGCCCTGCGCACTCTCAGTGAATACGCTCGGCCCCACGTCATGTCTCCTGGCAATCGAAACCATCCGTTCTACGTGCCCCTGGGGGCAGTGGACCCGGGCCTCCTGGGTTATAATGTCCCTGCCCTCTACAGCAGTGACCCAGCAGCCCGGGAGAGGGAGCGGGAGGCCCGAGAAAGAGACCTCCGTGACCGCCTCAAACCTGGCTTTGAGGTGAAGCCCAGTGAGCTGGAACCCCTACATGGGGTTCCTGGGCCTGGCCTGGATCCCTTCCCCCGACATGGGGGCCTAGCTCTGCAGCCTGGCCCACCTGGCCTACACCCTTTCCCCTTTCACCCGAGCCTGGGGCCCCTAGAGAGAGAACGTCTGGCGCTGGCTGCTGGGCCAGCCCTGCGGCCTGACATGTCCTACGCAGAGCGTCTGGCAGCTGAGAGGCAGCATGCAGAAAGGGTGGCAGCCCTGGGCAATGACCCGCTGGCCCGGCTGCAGATGCTCAATGTGACCCCCCATCACCACCAGCACTCCCACATCCACTCTCACCTGCACCTCCACCAGCAGGATGCCATCCATGCAGGTGAGACTCCTACTTCCTTCCTTGCCCCCAGCAAATGATTGGGCTCTTCTGTTTCTCAAGCCAGGACCTCCCTAGTCTGGCATGAACTCTCTCGAGTGCTCCCCTGCTCTTTGCCTCCTTGTCATCCACTAGCCTGTCACCTCATACCCTAGCCTTGCCACAAACACTATTCCCCACATCCCCACCCTCTTCAGAGTCTAACATCAAACCCATGATAGAGGCCAAAGCTAGAAACCTTTGAAAGAGCACCACCTTCCTACCGTTACAGCCCATTTCTCCCAGCCCCTCACATACCTGTTTTCTTGTTCTTTCGGATTCAGTTCTCTTGTGGCCTCTTGCCATATTCTCTTCCCAGCTGTAGGTCCTTTATGTTCCTCCCCATCTCTGTGCCTTTTCGGAAAGAGCCCTGTAGCTGTGGTTGTGGGCATTGTAGGTGGTAGTGAGCTTTACTTACTGTCACTTCACCATATTTCTTATTACCCAGTATAGCCTTACAATCATGCTCATTCCAATCTCCCTGGAGCTTTCTCTTTGTTAACCTCCATTCTCTTCCTGTCTCTCTTTCTAAACTTTGTGCCCTCTTCCATCTTCTCTAAGCAGTCCACGCTCTCTTTCCTTTTCCTTAGACCCTCTGACAACTGTAATCTGTCCTCTGCCATCAGTGTGTCCCAGCTCCAGTAGCATCTTATTCTTGTCCATTGCGCTTCATTCCACTCTGGATCTCCCTCCCTGTGTTTGATTTTCCATCTCTCTTCCCAGGCTTGGATCCGTTCACCTACATGCATGGTTTTCCCCAAACCTGCCTTCTGGTGATACCTTCCTGTTCTCTATCCTCCAGCCTCTGCCTCAGTGCACCCTCTCATTGACCCCCTGGCCTCAGGGTCTCACCTTACCCGGATACCCTACCCAGCTGGGACCCTCCCCAACCCCCTTCTTCCTCACCCTCTGCACGAGAACGAAGTTCTTCGTCACCAGCTCTTTGGTAAGGATGGAGTTTGGGATTGGGGAAGGTCTAATGAGAGAAGGGCAGAAAGGAGGAATTTGGGTGATGGGATTGGCCTAGTTTGGCTTGGGGAGTGGTGAGGAGATGCCCAGAAGAGCTGGGAATGGGAGTAGGAGGTCTAGGGCTCTGCCCAAGAAAGGCATGTTTTAGTGTCAGGCTAAGAAGTTTGACTCCTAACCACCACTGGCATTTTGCAGGACTGCTGTTACCTAACTTTTTTAGTCTGTTTCTCTGTATTCCTGGCTCAGAGTAGGTCATCAGTCATGTGCCCTCTGTCCTTCCTGCCTACAGCTGCTCCTTACCGGGACCTGCCAGCTTCCCTCTCTGCCCCAATGTCAGCAGCTCACCAGCTGCAGGCCATGCACGCGCAGTCTGCTGAGCTGCAGCGCTTGGCACTGGAGCAGCAGCAGTGGCTGCATGCCCATCACCCGCTGCACAGTGTGCCACTACCTGCCCAGGAGGACTACTACAGGTACTACTGGGCACTCCTAGCCCAGGATTGAGGAGATGTAAGCCTGGGATGGGATATGGGCATGGTACAACTAGGCACTAGGTTCCTGGGGGAGGGATCTCCTCCACCATCATGTGAGAGGAGTCAGGTCAGGTTCAACCTCAGTCTCTTATCTCTGTTCTGCACACTGTGTCTCCCAGTCACCTGAAAAAGGAAAGTGACAAGCCGCTGTAAACCTGCAATCAAGAGAGCACCTGTGGCCCAAGTGTGCATCTGGACCTTGGAGGTCTCCCTCCCAGCCTGCCACCCAGAGCAAGGAGGGGTGCTGCTCAGTTGCAGGGCCTCAGCAGCTGGGCAGAGGGAGGGAGGAAGGGACAGATGGAAGACCAAGGCTCCTGTGGTGTGCAGAAGTGGGGAAGTGGCAGGGGCAGGGGCAGAAAGCGCACAGGATCTTGGACCAGGTCCCTCTTCTTGTCCCCCTGCTTTCTTCCTCTCCCATGCCCAACCCCTGTGGCCACTGCCCTTCCCCTATCCAGTTGGTGTGATTATTTCATCTGTTAGATGTGGCTGTTTTTTGCGTAGCATTGTGTGCCGCCCCTGCCCCTCCCCAGTCCCTGTGTGCGCGCCCCCCTCTGCGATGTATGCCCCTTGCCCCTACCCCACATTAATAATTTATATATATAAATATCTATATGACGCTCTTTAAAAACATCCCAACCAAAACCAACCAAACAAAACATCCTCACGACTCCCCAAGAAGATGGCTGTGACTCGTTATTTGCGGGCTACTGGGGCGGGGGTCTCTCTGCAGGAGGGCCTTCTAGAGAGACCCTCTGGGAAGTTGGAAGGGATGGGCCTTCTGAAGGGACTGGGTGGAGGGACCCTGGACAGTTGGAGAGGGTACCACCCGAGCCAGACCCCTTCGTCCTCCCAAGGCTGGGAAGTCTGGACGCTGGAGGCCTGGGACAAGCAGGCCTCTGCCAAGGTCAGGTCTAGGAAATAACTCGGACTTTTGAGGCGTTTCTTTTACTGGTCTGACAGCTAGGAGCCATCAGTCTGAATCCTTTCTGTGGAATAGTTTGAGACACAGTTATAAGGCAGAGGTTCAAGAGCCTTGGTTTCAACAGATGAAAGCGAGTAGAATTTTGGAGTCTACCTATGGTTTGAGAAGGGAGTAGGCGACAATTTCAAACGCTTAGAAGAGACAAGAAATTAGAGGGCGTTAAGCTGCAGGGCACATTCCTATACAAGGCCCTTTTAGGAAAGTACGGGAGCTGTTTTAGTTCCAAGCTTTTGTTGCTGCAAATCACTTTCTCCGTTCTTAAAAACTAAAGGGTGGGACTGGTCCTCTTGGCCAATCAGCATCTACCTCATTTGCATAAGCCCGTACAAAACATTTGCAAACTCTAGAAATGAACGATATGAATAAGTTCCGTAGAATACTATTTTTCCTTGTGAAAGTTACAGTGTCTCGTTGCTTATACGGCAATAGAAATCAAAAAAGTCCACTCTGAGCTCACCCTCACCAATATTGGAGTTCATGGATATTCCGCGTTCTCCCCGGGCCACTTCCTGTAGTGCTTACAGCTCTTTTTGAATTTGTCTAGTAGGTCTTCCGGTTTTTACCGGAAGGCCCTCCCTATTAAACGAGTCATTCCTAACAATAGAGTAACTTCAGTGGCAAGCAGATGTGTTTAAATGTTGCAGATTCACCGAGACACTTCCAACTTTTGAGGGTTTGCAGTGGGGTGGTGGGAACGACGCTCGAGGAACTTCCGGTTACGGCCGATGCCGTTTCCCCCCGCCCCCGGCAGCCTGGAGACCAGGTTTCGGAGCCGGCCCTTTCTTCCTGAGCATTTCCTTGGTTCTGCCCTACGTGCAATCTCCGTGGCACTATGGCGTCCGCCTCGGCCCAGCCTGCGGCCTTGAGTGCCGAACAGGCCAAGGGTGAGGAGCATAGTGTCCTAGTCACCGGGTGGGCTGCCTGCCGGAGGAGGGTGCAGGCGGAGGATAACAGCGAGCGAGAGATGTGCTTGCTTCGCCGGGGAGCGGGGTACCATCTTTCTCCCTCTAAGAGGAGTACCCTAGAGCGAGGGATTCGGCGCCGTGTTTATCGGGTTACTACGGCTTCAGTCCACTAATTTCCTGTCCTCTTCCCTGCACTGTCGGCTGGGCCTGCTGGCCATGCTCCGATGTCTACCCCGGGATGCCACCCTGGGTTGCATCTGCCACACAGTGGTCCTGGCCGAGGTGATCCAGGCGTTCTCCGCCCCTGAGAACGCCGTACGCATGGACGAGGCTCGGGACAACGCGTGCAACGACATGGGCAAGATGCTGCAGTTCGTGCTGCCCGTGGCCACACAGATTCAGCAGGAGGTTATCAAAGCTTATGGCTTCAGCTGCGACGGGGAAGGTGGGTCGGGAGGGGTCGGGGGTGGAGTGGGTCTGGGAGAGAGGGCGCTGGATCCTTTGGCTTCCCTGAGCTGTCATCTCCTTTCTTGCCACAGGGAGGCAGCCACAATCTGACTAATAGTATTGGCACTGCGAGCCTAGGGGTCTTGTCTGAACTGTGCCAAGTAAAGTCCTAAGTGCATTTTGTAGTTACCATTAATTATACTATTCCATTTTTAAGATGAGGAAACAGACTCTTGTATTAAACTAAGTGCTGGAGTCAGCAGAGCTGAACCTGGACCCTGTTCTGAAAGCTTTTAGTGAGATGTGTGCATGACAAGTGGGCTTCTGCAGCCCCTCCAAGGTGTTTCAGCTAATCTCTGAGGGTTACAAGTTCAGTTTATTTAATGAGATCATGGTGTTCCCCAAGGGTGTTTACTGATTTAGGCCAGTTAGCCCGTGGTCCTCCTGTGCTGTGGTTATAGACGTGGGATCTTTCCTGGGTGTTCATACTTTGGATTAAATTGCTAAAATTGTTCACCTGATACTGAGAAGCACAGTGCTTTGGGATATTTCCATTCACTATATCCCATCTAGTTGTCCCTGTTGTAGACCAGGAAGTGGTTGATCCAAACCCCACAGGGCAGAGGCCTTGCATGTGCCTTGTTTTGCAGACAGCTACCTGGCCAGAGGGGAAGCAGCCAGTGACTCATGCTCAAGCTGCCCCCTCTCCTTATCTTGAGCATCTCCATTCCATGGGGATGTGGGTTGACGCTTAGATCCCCCTTGCAGGTGTCCTTAAGTTTGCCCGCTTGGTCAAGTCGTACGAAGCCCAGGATCCCGAGATTGCCAGCCTGTCAGGCAAGCTGAAGGCACTGTTCCTGCCACCCATGACACTGCCACCCCATGGGCCTGCTTCAGGTGGCAGCGTAGCTGCCTCCTGAGAGTTGGCCTCCCCTGTGATACTGCCTGGGAAGGGAAGATCTTGATGTCCCAGAGGTTAATAAATATGCCTGTGATTTAGCCTCAGCGTTAATCTTTTGTGACCTGACAACCCCACCTTCTGCCCCCAGGTTCCCTCTGCCATTTCATTTCAGCAGCTGATATCCCTGTCCAGATCTTTCCTATGCTCTTGCTGGGCCCAACCCTGCTCCAAGGCAGGGTTGGAGGGCCGGCCGGTCCCTCAGCACCCTGGGTGGGTGGGCCTGCACTGGCAGCACCTGTGCTGAGGAGTGGGACTTCCCGGCTTTTCCTGAGGCCCCTAGGTGGCTGTGGACCAAGAGGCTCCCCCATTGGTTGGTGTTCAGTAGGCCAGGGTTATTTCCTGGTCCTTGCCGGGCCCTCCCTCCTGCTGCCATGTGAGCTTGAGCTCCAGGTGGAGCTTCAGGTGGCTCCTCCCCTCCCAATGGAAGGAGGCCCTGGACTCTCGACCTGAACAGAGGAGGCTGGAGGGAAAGGCAGGCTGCTGTGGGCGGCCTGAGGCCAGCCCCACCTCACCTGTCCCTTTTCTGGGCACCATTAGTCCAGGGGCTTGTTCCTGCAGTACCATTGGCCTGGTGGACAGCATCGAGGAAGAAGTGGCTGAGTTCAGAGCATTCTTCTCCACCAGGTTTGGGCCACTACACAGCTGCGCTTTGAGCTCAGCCCCACCTCTTGTGGCCCTCTGCCTGTGACTCTCCCTTCCCTCTGGGGAGATGCTGTCCCGTGGGTAAGTCCCCTGCTCCACCTGGGTGCTACAGTCTCCTGTTGGTTTGGAGGGAGGGGCAAGGCTCATGCTCACTCCTGACACATGACAGACTACACTGCTCCCTACCCTGGGTCTGCATCCTGTCCCTATGCTCAAGTTTCGAGGAACTCCAGGCTCATTCATGCTCCTGTATGAGGGGAGGGGAACTCTCCCCTCCTCTGGCACTTTCCCCTGACAGATGATATATTTATTCTCACCATTGTATTTTTCTCTCCATCCTCTGGTCCCCTGCTTCTGCTGTCTGCTTAGGTAAGACCTGTCCCTCTGGGTAGCCCACATCACCTGAAACATACTGTGTCTGAAAGGCAAACCTGAGAAAGCTTGCCTTAGTTCCACTTTCTTTCAGTTCCCCTGCCCTGCATCATTCATACAACAGATACATGGTGAGGTACTTTTTAAGGTTCTGGCAGTACTGTAGTGGACAGGATGGACATGTCCCTGCTCTCAAGGAGCTTCATTTCAGTGGGAGGCGACAGACTACACAAAGAACCCAATAAACAGGATAATTTAAGATTCTCAGAAGTGAAAAAAACAAACAGCTTCATGTACTAGTAGGTGACTGGGGCTGCCGATGGCATCACTAGGTGGAAGGGTCAGGGAGGGTGAACTGAGACCTGGATGATGAAGAAGAGCCAGCTGAGCACCCCTGGACAGAGGGAATGGTGAGTGAGAGGCCTTGCTGTGGGAGCAATGACACAAGGACAGTGTGCCTGAAGCAGGGTAAGCTGATAGAGAGGAAGGCAGGGCCCTGGCTTTGGATCTTATAGTGAAAGCCTGCTTGGAGTGCTGGTGAGTTGGTGGGTTGGTCGCCTCCTTCTTTTCCATTTGTGCTGCCTTTCCCAGTGCACACCTTGTCGCTGTCAGCCCTGCTGACAGGATTCTTATCCAGTCTTCTGGTCCCTGCTCCCTTCCATACTCCTGCCATGATCATTTTCCAAACCAGGTGGTTGGTAAGGCCTCTTGTGGTGCAGAATCCTACCCTGGTTCCTCAGCCTGGCCTTGTAAGACCCTCTGCCACAGGTCCCATCCTCTCAGAGCAGCTTTGCATCAGCCACCCTGCTCTGCTCACACCCAGCCCTGCTCAAGTGGATCGTGTGCCTGCCACCTTGGTACAGTTCTCTCGCGTCCCCTGTGGGCCATGCCAGCACCCTCCCCCTCCAATTGAAGTCTGCTCTAGCAGTGTGGTCAGTGTGCGGGGAAGGATAACAGGCTCTGGTGTCAAATAGCCTTGGTCTGCCCACCTTCTCACTCATGAACTTGTGGCCTTGGGCAAATTACTTAATGTCTCTGAGCCTTAGTTTTTGTTTCTAAAATTGGGCTAAGACCTACTAAATAGGGTTGGCACGTAGATTAATTTGTAATGTAAAAGCTGTTGGCGCTAAAACCCTACTATATATCAGCTTTTTGTATCAGTGTTTGGGAAGTATTGTTAAGCCCATTAGCAGGTGTGGATGCTGAGGCATGGGGAAGCTCAGTAACTTTCTGGAGATTATTTTGCCTTGTTTGCTCTTCTAGGCTGCCTGTCTTTCTGCCTCACCACTGATATCTATCTCTACCTTTATCTCCCCACTTCCCAAGTGAATAATTTTCTCTTCAGAACCATTAGGCACTTATTTTTGTAACTTTCAGCCTCTTTGAGCCTGTTTTCCTTCCTTAAAAAAGTGGGGAAAGGCTGGCGTGGCTCAGCGGTTGAAGATAGACCTATATGATCCCTGAGATCGCAGTTCAATTCTCCGTCAGGGTACATGCCTGGGTTGTGGGCTCGATCCCCAATCGGGGGCGTGCAGGAGGCAGCCGATTAATGACTCTCTCATCATTGATGTTTCTAGTTCTCTCTCTTCCTCCCTATGAAATTAATAAAGATTATATTAATAATGTGCCCTGACCTGGAATCGAACTCCAGTTGCCTGGATCCCAGGTCGACGCTCAACCTCTGAGCCATGCCCAGCCAGGCTAAAGATATATTTTTTAAAAAAACTGGGGAAAATAATCCCCACATCACAGGGATGTGTGAGGCCCAGATGGGATTGTGTGTGTGCAAGCACTCTGCAGACACCAGAGCGCTTGTGTCAAGGTAAGGAAGGTGGTTGTTATTTACTTCCCTGTTAAAGGGACAGCAGAGACTGTATGTTTTACCTTAGTATCTGTCTTCTGGCTTGACACCCTTCAGAAAAATTCCTGCTTCTTCCATGGGTCAGGAGTTCTGGGTGCCTAACTAGTTTCTTCCCACCAAGCCCCAGAAGGAGAGTGGCCTGGGGCTGGGGTGCAATGGGTGTTCAGCACTGAACATGGGCCTGCATGTTTGTGTGGGGTCAGGATGGTGTGTCCATGTGGGTATTTGTACCAGACCAGGTATGTGTGTAGATGGACATGGGTGATGAGGTGCATGTAGTGGGACTGTGTGCATAGGTGGATGATTGTGTGTGTGTGTGTGTGTGTGTGTGTGTGTGTGTGTGTGTGCATGCCTGTATATGACAAGGGGGTGGAGGTATATGTGTAGGACCAGGAGCTGGACTTGTGATGATATACGTGCATGGGTATTGATGAGCTTGCTTATTGGACACATACTCTATGTGAGGCATTGTGCTAAACTTTGAACATTCGGAAGTGAGCAAGACTGGTAGTGGAGCCCCTGTGGTGGAGGGGACCTTGCAGCTGCTCATCCTGCCCTTGCTGTGGGAGGGGGTTCATAGACATTCCACGCGCTGTCCAAGACTGAAGGGAGCCCCGGCCAGGTAGCTCAGCTGGTTGGAGCGTCATCCCCATATGCCAAGATTGTGGGTTTGTTTCCAGTTAGGGCATATACAAGAAGCAACCAATGAAGCATAAATAAGTAGTACAACAAATCAGTGTTTTTCTCTCATTCTCTCTCAAAAAATCAATTAAACAAAAATTTTAAAAAGACTTTAGGAGTAGTCAGTGTTAGACCTCACAATAAACAGACCAAGCAAGTTCCCCAGGGTACCAGAAAGAGGTGGAAAAAAAACTCTTTTAGGAAGCAGGTGGGGGATTGATGTTTGATGTTTCAAAAAATGATATAGTAGTCATCATAGAAAAAACAGACTTGTTGGGCTTTAACACTTTATTTTTTCCTTATTTTTCATTGCGGTTGGCACATGTAACGTGCACGAATGTTAAGCGTACAGCCTGATGAACATTAGCACACACCCATGTATACACCACCCAGATCAAGATGTAGAGCGTTACCAGCAGCCCAGAGCTTCCCTGGAAATTGCTACGTCCCAGTCAGTTTATTTTTATAAAAGTAATACATGCCCATGCTACAACTTTCCAAACGCTATAAGGGAGAAGTCAATGTCCCTCCCAGCCTCCTCCAGCCACCCAGTCTCCCTCCCTAGGGGAAGCCACCAGTATGAGTGTCTTGTATAGTCTTTGTTTGGCTTCTTTCCTCTCACTTTGACTGGGAGATGTTTATGTTTGTATTTGGAATTACACACAGAGAGCATCATAAGCTTTTAGTGTTTAGGGTCTCTCAAGGTCAACCAGCCCTGACAATAGCCATATCGGGGACCTTGTCCCCAGCCCCCAGGAGACAGTCTCCTGGTCAAAGTTCTGAGTTCTGGCCGATTCAGACCAGACCCACTTGGCAAGAAGCTATGGCTCAGGCAGAGGGTGGTTGGATCCAAGGGGGCTGGCAACTCTGCCCCCACCTGATTCCCAGACTCCACCCCGGCCCTCATTCCGTTACCTGGCTCTAACTACATGGTTAGGGCAGGGCGGGGGCGAAGGTGTGGGGACAAGAAGTACAAAAGGCGCAAGTTTGACAGGGTGCACAGAGATCATTCTGTCCATCCCTCTGCCCCAGTGGTGCCTGTCCAGCTGTGTATACCAGGAGGCGAGGGCACCCCTCCCTTTGTAAGCATCTGCAGGTCTTGGCTGTTAGAGACTCTCCTCCTCTCGCTGCAGCCCCAATGGAAGAAGAGGCTCCCACCCTCTGTTCTTTGAAGCCCAGAGGGCTGGCATATGGTAGCTAAAGTCACGGGCTTTAGAATCACTAGCTAAAATTGCTGGGTTTCGCCCAGCCAAGCGTGGCTCAGCGGTTGAGCGTCAACCTAGGATCCAGGGAATCGGGGTTTGATTCCCGGTCAGGGCACATGCCTGGGTTGCGAGCTCGGTCCCCAGTTGGGGGGCATGCAAGAGGCAGCCGATGGATGACTCTCTCATCATTGATGTTTCTATCTCTCTCTCCCTCTCCTTTCTTCTCTCTGAAATCAATAAAGATATATTAAAATAAATTAAAATAAAATAAAATAAAATTGCTGGGTTTCATTTTAGCACTGCCACTTACTGATTGGATGACCTCAGGCAAGTTCCCTCAGGTTCCCTGAGCCTCAGGTCCCTTGTCTGTAAAATGGGCATAAATGTAGTACCAGCTTCATAGGGAAATTGTGAGGAGTGAATCAGATGAGGCTAGTGAAGGGCGTTATAGCACAATGCCTGGCATGCAGTACAATCCCGTTAAATGGTGGTGATCCCATGACCATTATTATTAGCTTGGACCAGGGAAGGCTGTGTGGAAGCAGCTGTGGAGGAGGAAGAGATGGCGTGTGACTGTGTGGGTTCACATGTATGAAGCATGATCTTCACTTGGAGGGAGCAAGGCGCACATGTGTCCTTATTTGTGGAATGCCATGCTCCTCAGGCTTTTGATGGCAGACATGTGGGAAGTGGGCCCTATCCCCACCCCCACTGCCACTGTCTCTGCTTCTCTTCCCTCTGCTCTAAAATGAGAAGTACAGTGAGTTCCCCCAAGGGGGCCTCGCCCCTTCCTGTCCCCGCCCTGTCGGCAGCCCTAGGCCATTGGAGTGGCAGCCCCAGAACCAGGACTGCAGGGGTGGTGAGGAGGCCTGGGCGCTGAGGGCTGAGTTCGAGGCTTAGCCCTAGCGGTCTCCGCTTGCCTGGACTCCCCGGCACCACCTTGTTCCCTGCACCCCCTTCCTCTTGGGGAGACCCCAGGATGGTGAGGTAAGGGCCTGGGACCCACGGTAGGCAGGAGGCATGGGTACCCTGGAGCCCATGCGACCTCTCCTCACCGCCCTCCTGGGCCTCCCAGGTGGTTTCACCGAGATCTCAGTGGGCTGGATGCAGAGACCCTGCTCAAGGGCCGAGGTGTCCATGGGAGTTTCCTGGCTCGGCCCAGTCGCAAGAACCAGGGCGACTTCTCCCTCTCAGTCAGGTAGGTGGCCCTCAACTCCACCCAGGACCAGTATTTTGGCAGTTCATTCCTGGTTCCCTCCTGGGAGTGCCAGCTCCCCAGCCCCCAGCCCCAGCCTGTCTCCTGTCCCTGCCTGTGTCTGCCGCATCCTGTGTATATCCCATACTCAGGACTTCAGCCCACCCCCCACC